GGGTGGGGGCTGGCACTGCCCCTGGGCCTGGTCAGGAGCAGCCTCTGAAGGCTCCCAGCAGGGGGAGCACAGCTCTCAACAGTGGGGCTGGGGAGGGAGCTGGTGGCTAGTGCAGCACGCTTCCAGGCAAGGCGAGGCTGGGAACCCTGCCGCCTGATCTGTCTGCTTTCCTCCATGCCCCAGCTCCCCTCCAAGGCTCTGGTGCCTGAAATGGAGGACGAGGACGAGGAGGATGACTCAGAGGATGCCATCAACGAGTTCGATTTCTTGGGCTCAGGAGAGGATGGGGAGGGCTCTCCGGACCCTCGGCGTTGCGCTGGAGAGGGGACCCACCACGAGCTAGGTGAGCTGAGGGTTTTCCAGCCAGCCCTCCTCACCAGGGGTGCTGAGGGCAGACCTCGATCCTGCCCCTTCCACACACCGCCACCTGCAGCTGCTTCCTGCCCCGGGGTCTCCACCGGATGGATACACTTCCTGAGAGGAGGGTGGCCGAGGAGAGCAGGAGGCCTGTGCCGCGGTGCCGGGCCCTCACCCCTTCCCCGGAAAATCCCTGTGGGGCGCAGGCAGGCCCGGCTCTTCCTGAAACGGGGCCCCCAGCCCTCCATGTGAGAGCGTCCAGTTCTCGGCGGACCTCAGGGAGGGAAAGGGATGAGGACGCGGCAGGGAGAGGCAGAGCGGCAGTGCTGCGTCTTCCTCCTGCCCTGTGACTCTGAGCTAGGCAGCCCTCGGGTCACGTGGGGTGGCTGGGGACGGAGGTCCCAGCATGGGCAGCCCACGGAGGCTCCCAGTTCAGTCTGTCTCCTCTGCCCGGCCCTCTCCCCCACCCTGAGCCCCCGTGCACCCTGGGCCCAGGGCTCCCTGCCTCCTCACAGTTGCAGGAGGGGCGTTCAGGGGTGGGGAAAGCGTCACTTGTGTGGCTGCTGGCTGACCCCTGCCCTGTGCCTTGTCCCTGCAGAGAGCCGGCGGGTCAAACTCCAGGGAATTTTGGCTGACCTGCGGGATGTGGATGGGCTGCCCCCCAAAGTGACGGGTCCACCTCCTGGCACACCCCAGCCCCGGCCACACGAAGGTAAGAGGCCCCTCCACCCGGCCCAGTCCCCAGGGGCCCACGGCAGAGGGAGGCTGCAGAGCTAGGCCCAGGGCTTGTGTCCTCAGGGTCGAGGCCTGGCCTCGAGTCTGCAGCCTCCCTGTCCCAAACGTTCGTCTGTCTGTCTCTGTCTCCCTCTCTTTGTGTCTGTCCTGCCCTGTCTGTCCGTCTGTCTTTCGCTATCTCTTTCTTTCCAGCTGTGATTCTTGGTTTTGTCCTCTCCCCGTCTCTCCCCTCACTCCTTACCTCCCTCTGCCTCTCTCTGCCTCTTTCTCTCTCCCTGCCCCTCCCTGGCCCCTCCCTCCCCTCCCCCTACCAGGTTCCTTTGGCTTCTCCTCAGACGTTTTCATCATGGACACTATCGGGGGCGGGGAGGTGAGCCTGGGGGACTTGGCAGATCTCACCGTCACCAACGACAACGACCTCAGCTGCGATGTAAGTTCTCGGGGTGCCCCCCCAGGCCCCCACACAGTGCCAGCACTTGCTGAGCTCTGCCTGTGTGCCCGGTCCGCGCTCGATCCCCTACACGTGAGGACAATGTGCGGTCATTCATAGCTCACCCTGGTTTATGGAGGGGTATGGGTGCAGACAGCGGAGGGACTTGACTGGGGTCACCGAGGTGCAGGGCCTGGGGGACTCTGGAGCCTGTTCTTAATCTCGGTGCCAGGCTCCTTCTCTAGGCGACACTCCCTCCCGCCCCTGGCCTACACCCACCTCAAATCTGGGACCCACCACAAGCTGGGGGCAGGGCTGGGGGCCGGACGGAAATACAGCATCAGAGGAGGAAGGGGGCTCCAGGCTGGCGGCAGTGCAGGTGAGATGGTCTGTGCAGGAGGTGGGGACGGAGCTGACCTTTGAAGGGAAGACGGCCTCATGCCAAAAAACAGCAGCAAAATCAGGCCAGTCGGGTGCGGACGGGGGCTGCTGGAGCGGTCGGCCTGGGATGAAGGGCCACCTGAGGGCCCGCCTTCTGAGCCCAAGATCCATGGCCGGGCCTCTGGCCGTCTGGGGACCCCTGAAACGGGTGCGTGTGCGCATCTTCCTGTGGCAGAACGCTTATCACGGCTGTTGGCAGGGTCTCCAGTGGTGGGTGATGCCAGCGAGGTTCGGGGCACTGCTGTGGGATGCCGGGAAGGGAGGCCAGAGCGGAGGGTTTGCCTTGAGATGGGGCCCCGTCTGGGGGAGTGTGCCAGTGAGGGATCACCAGACGACGGCAGATCCTCTGGCCCTCAGAACTGTGGCAGAAGTGACGGCTGACGCAGGGACCTTGGGGCGACAGAGCCAGGTGCGGGGGTTGCTTGGGTGGGAACCTGATCATGGTGTGGGGCCCTGAGGCTTGCCTGACAGTCAGCTCACCTTCTTCCCTCCCCGGGACCCCACTCTGAGAGCGGCCCCACCGTGACCAGGGCGTGTGCAGTGTCTCTGGGACTCCCCCAGAGGCCTGTTGGGTCTGCTCCCCAGTCTCCCCACCGTGTGCACTGGTGCCCGTCTCCACTCGCCAGCGTCTGGTCTAAGCGCCCTCGCCTGTCCTGGAGAGACCTCCTCCTCTCTGCAGCCACTCTTCTCTTCCCCTAATCCCAGCCTCCCCTGGGGCGGCCCGAACAAGCCGTGGCGTTCCCCTGCTCTGCACCCTTCCATGGCTGCCTGTTTTCCTTAGGATGGCACACAGATGCCTGACTGTGGCTTGGCTGTTCTGGCTCTGGCCAGCCTTTCTGGCCTCATCTCCTGCCGCTCTGCCCCTTGCTCTCTGCATCACAGTGACGCTGGCCTCCTTGCAGGCTCTGGGTCTGCTCTTGCTCCCTCCTGCCTCAGGGACTTTGCACATGCACTTTCCTTCCTCAGCCCTTTCTCCATATCTGGTTAAGTCTTGCTGATTTGTCACTTCCTCAGGAAAGCCTTCTTGACTCCCGCAGAGGAGGTCAGGCTGCCTGGTCCTCCTCCCAGTGCATTTCTAATTCAGAGCACCACACGTAATTCGGGATCCCGTGCACTAGTGGCCGAGCTGATTGTCTCCCCTAAGCCCCCTCTGAACTGTGAGATCTGGAGGGTTCGGGCTCGCCTTTGTCTCTCCAGAACCTAGCATGGTGCTGCACACTAATGGAACTTGAGTGAGCAAGGGGACAGTGCCGGTTGAGGAGGGAGGGGAGAGCACCTGGGGGCCAGCCTGTGAGGTCCAGGTGGGGAGGGACACATCCTGGCGGTCCTGGCTGTGTGTGTCTGCGGGACTGCTGGGACAGGCGAGAAGAGGCTGAGGCGGCTCCCCTACTCCAGCTGTCCGACAGCAAAGACGCCTTTAAGAAGACGTGGAACCCCAAGTTCACCCTCCGCTCCCACTACGATGGCATCCGCTCGCTGGCTTTCCACCACAGCCAGTCGGCGCTGCTCACCGCCTCTGAGGACGGCACGCTGAAGCTCTGGAACCTGCAGAAGGCTGTCACAGCCAAGAAGTAAGGGCGCAGCCTCGGGCGTGGGGCGGGGGTCAGGAGCGTCACCAGGAGCCAGGCTGACGGGGGCTCTGTCTCCCCGCAGGAATGCTGCTCTAGACGTGGAACCCATCCACGCCTTCCGGGCTCACAGGTAGGGAAGTGCCCCCAAAAGCAGGCTGACCCCTGGCCCACTCACTGCCGTAGCCAGGGGCCGATGGCAGGAGGGCTCCGAGTCCTCGTGACCCTCTGCACACACGCTCCCGGCTCCTAGTGCCCTGCAGACACTTTCAGTGCCCCTGGCTGGTTCTCAGCTCGGCCCTCGGAGGCGGAAACAGATGAGGGGAGGAGGCAGGGGACAACAACTTTCCGGGTGGCACAACCAGAGCCCCAGATGCTGAATTCCTTTGGGCCACCCTTGAACAGTGCTGGTGGAGAGCTTCAGGGTCCCGAGGAGGGGGGTGGGGGAGGGGCGAGCACTGAGCTATTTGTCACCCCCCTTCCCCCACCTCCGTGTCCTCCAGGGGCCCCGTGTTGGCAGTAGCCGTGGGCAGCAACAGCGAATACTGTTACAGTGGTGGGGCAGATGCCCGCATCCACAGCTGGAAGATTCCAGACCTCAACATGGACCCCTACGACGGTTATGGTGAGCACAGCTCCGTCTCCCTGCCTTCCGTTCCCCCACCCATGATTCACCGGGGCCTCTTCCTTCCCTCAGCACGTATGGTGTCTGCTCATGCCTAACACTGCAGGCACTGGGGGAACACGAGAGCGCCCAGTCTGGTTAAGTGGGGAACACCGTGATTGGGCATGTGACTGAGGGTTGGACAGGTCGAGGCAGGAATGGTGGTGGCGCCGGGGGAGTGATGGTCCAGCTGACTCAGAGTCAGCGCTGGGGCTGGGGACCAGCACGGTGGGCCCAGCCAGCGTCTCCGTGCGGTAGAGCGGAGGGAGCCGGCGAGGAGGGCGTGGAGCAGGGGAGATGGGAGAAGCTGGCTGGGCCAGGTGGGAGGGAGTTTGAGCTTCATCCTCAGGGCACCTTTAAAAGTTACGTGCAGCAGCGACCAGAATGGCACTTCTGCTCACCGTCTGTCCCCCGCCCTCTGACACCTCTTTTGCTCACACCCATGGCTCTGTGCAGCATTCTGTCGCAGCAGAGGTTAGAGGTCTGAGTCTCTCCTCAAAGAACATCCACTGTTTTCCCGAAACAGTCTCACCCTGTGAAAGGTTGAGGGTCAGTCCCAGGCAGTATGCGATCCAAACATTGGGTGTCATCAGAGCACCCTGTTGGACTTGAGTGACCAGGCAGGCGATGGTGGGAACGACCAGAGGGCTTTGGAGAGACGGGGCCAGGCTTGTGCGTGGGGGCAGAAGAGACTGCAGGGACCAGGGGCAGGGCCGACCTGCAGGCGCAGGCTGTGGAGGGTCTCAGACCACAGAGCCACTGTTATTCCTTCTCCCCTTAAGTTCTCAAAATTACGTCTCAAGCACCCGCTTTGTGCAGGCGCTGCTGTGGGCCCGGGGGTGGGGGGGCAGCAGTGAGCAGAGGGAGATCCCTCCCCTCTGGAGCTCTCCCGTTTTGGGGTGCCTTCAGAGCCCCACAGTCTTCCCAGAAGAGCTGGTGGGCAGTTCTGTTGCTCACAGCTCCGAGGGCATAAGGATCCTGGATGTGAAGCTGGGTGATGGGGGCCCCAGCCCAGCCGCCTGGTCTTGGCAGAGCTGCTGCTCTTGGGCTGTCCGGGATGGGCTGCCGGCCCTGACGTAGCCCGTTTCCTCCCTTTGGGGGGTCCAGACCCCAGCGTGCTGAGCCACGTCCTGGAGGGCCACGGGGATGCCGTGTGGGGCCTGGCCTTCAGTCCCACGGCCCAGCGCCTGGCCTCCTGCTCCGCCGATGGCACCGTCCGCATCTGGGACCCCAGCAGCAGCCCGACCTGCCTCTGTACCTTCCCCACAACCAGCAGTGAGTCGGGGGACGGGGCGGCGGGGGACCCTGACACCTCACACAGGAGCTGCACAGAGCTGGAGGCCCTGAGAGGAGAGCGACTCCCGGCCCCCCCCAGGGTAGGACTGGGTCCGTGAGGCAGCCTTCCCTCCCCTCTGCTCTCAGATCACGGGATCCCCACCTCAGTGGCCTTCACCAGCACCGAGCCTGCCCACATCGTGGCCTCCTTCCGCTCTGGCGACACCGTCCTGTATGACCTGGAGGCTGGCAGCGCCCTCCTAACGCTGGAGTCCCGGGGGAGCAGCGGTAAGGGGCCCCTGGGTCAGGGGCCAGGATCTGAGGGCCTCCAGGGCCCCACTTCCTCCTGTGGCTTTGGTGACCCGAAGCCCAGTCAGTTGCAGAGGCCCCTGCTCCCTCAGGGGTGCTGAGCCGGAAGGAGATAAGGTCCCCCCCACTGCCCTTCTAGACAGCACGGGGCCCTTGGGAGGTCTGAGGGGAGGGGAGGGCTGAGGGGAGCGGGTCATGAGGGACTCGCCCGTTGGGCCCACTCAGTGCGGTGGATGGACCATTTTCATGTCTGCTGTCTTTCCTGCCCCACCCAAGGCCGGGCTCAGGACCCAGAGAGGGAGCGCGGGGTGCCCAGCCCTCCGGGACATCTAGGCAGGGGGTAGGGGTGGGGTCGTGGTCTCTGAGTTCCCCCTGACGTCCTGCCCTCTTGCCCCTTCCCCTCCCAGGCCTGACCCAAATCAACCAGGTGGTGAGTCACCCCAGCCAGCCCCTCACCATCACCGCCCACGATGACAGAGGCGTCCGCTTTCTGGACAACCGGACAGGTGAGGCTGCCCTCCCACTCACCTGTGCTCCTGGGGGCAGGGGTGGACCAGGCTCGGCTGGCAGGCCCCCAGCAGCCACATTGGAGGCCTCAGCGTCCCCTCTAGCCCCCTCACCTTCCTGGGCCAGGGGCAGAGGGGGAAAGTAACCTGCTGCCCCTCCCCTGTGCCCCCCCCCCCCCAGGAAAATTGGTGCACTCCATGGTTGCCCACCTGGACGCGGTCACCTGCCTAGCCGTGGACCCCAATGGCGTATTCCTGATGTCGGGAAGTAAGTCGGGACCCTCCTGGCTCCTGAGGAACAAGGGCGTGAGTCTTCCCCAGTGGGGCTGGGGAGAAGAGGAGGAGGAGACCTGGGCACTGGCCCCGAGGGAGAGCTCTGGGGGCTCCCTGTGGCTGGGGAGCTGGGACAGGGCGCCTGCGGTGCGGGAATAACACAGGCACAACAGTGGTGACAGCACAGCAGTGCCCACTCAGAGCCCGCTGTGGGCTCTTCCCTGCCTCATCTCATTTCATCTGAACAATCCTGTGAGGCTGGTGTTGTCCCCATTGTACAGACGTGGAAAGCGAAGCTCAGAGAAGTTAGGGAACTTGGCCACAGCGTAGTGAGCTGCAGGAACTAAGTTCGGTCTGTCTGACCCAGCGCCCACAAGGCCTTTAGCAGCTGGTCCCCTGCTCTCTGTGGGGGAGGGCGCCGAGGCCCAGCGCCTGGGGGCCGTGCCTGGAAGGGATGGATGAGATGGGCGCACGGAGAAGGGGCTGAAGCTCCCAGGGGCGAGGGTGTGCACTGGCCGTGAGGGGGGCCTGAGTGGAGCCGAGCCTGCCGTGGGGAAGGGGGCTTCCCCTCTCCTCTGAGGCCCGGCATCAGACCCCGGGTGGGGTGTCCGCGAGTGAGCGGGCAAGTGCAGAGGTGCCACGGTGGTAGAGGGCGTGGACGGGCCTGGAGCTAGCACGTCCTCTCCTCCCTCTGCCCCGTGGCACTAGCAGCTGTCTCCCAGGAGGATGGCTGAGGGGTCAGTGAGATCAAGCCTGGCAGAGAGGATTCAGTGCAGGGCCCAGGTCCCCCTAGAAGGGACAAGCAGAGAGAGCCAGCCTGCCCCGCAGCCAGTCCGACCCTTGTAACGCAGAAGTCAGGCCCTCCCTCCAGTGGCTCATGGCCCCCCAGGCCCGGCCCTGTCTGCTCCCCACGCCTGCCTCCTCTCAGTCCTCAGGACCTTCCCCTGGCTATCCCTGCTGCCCCCTGGCCACCTGGCGTATATGTTCTGTTTTCCTGTTGACTGTCCTTGCCACACGGGAGTGTTAGCACCACAGGGGCGGGGAGATTGGCCTGTTGTGTTCAGTGTCCCTGGGCCCAGCACACAGTAGGTGTTCAGGAAATACTTGGTGACTAGATGGATGGCAGGTTGGGACAGAAGGGCTCTCCCTCAGGCGGGGTGTCAGGAGGTGACTGGGCAGAGCTGGGCCGGGCAGAGGATCCAGGCCTTTGGACGAGGTCAGCCGAGGGGTTCAGGGGACGTAGCTGAGTGAGGAGCCGGGGTGCCCAGTGCTCCTGGGTGACAGCCCCTCTGCTCCCACCCCTGCACAGGCCACGACTGCTCCCTGCGTCTGTGGAGCCTGGACAACAAGACCTGTGTGCAGGAGATCACAGCCCACCGCAAGAAGCACGAGGAGGCCATCCATGCCGTCGCCTGCCACCCTAGCAAGGCTCTTATCGCCAGCGCGGGCGCCGACGCCCTGGCCAAGGTCTTCGTATGATGCCCGCCTGGCCCCGCCCTGGCCGCCACGCTGGCTGGGGAGCGGGGCCGGCAGGGGGGACTGAGGTGAGGGGCCGGAGGGGAGGGAGGCTCGGCCTGGGAGGGCAGAAGCCCCTGCATCCTCACCCCCACGGGGCCCTCAACCATGCCCCTTCACCTGGCCCTTCCAGAGGGGGATGAGTCCCGAAATCCTAGTCAGGACGCCCTGTGAGAAGCGCCGAGGTCGCCCCTGGGCGCTCAGAGGAGGGGCTGAGGCGGAGAGGGGCCCCGAGCTGCCCTACCTCTTGTACCCTGGAGGTCGTGGTCCAGCTTCTGTCCCTTCTCTCTCCCGCAGGTGACTCCCAGCCTCAGTCTAGAGGCCTGGAGGCCCGGCCTCTTCCCACTTGCCCGGAGCCTGGTGGTGCTAAGGGCCCTTTCCCCGGGAGGCCCTCCCCCACAGCCTGCCCCTCCCTGCGCCTGGGGGGTGGCCGCCTTAGGAACCACCCTCCAGGAAGGCCTCTGGGGCTGTCCGCTCCGCCCTGGTACCCACTCCCGGTCTCTGAGCTGCCTTCTCGGGGGCAGCACCACCAGCGCCGGGTGTCCTTGGGTATCAGCTTTTCCAAGACGCCAGAAGGTGCCAGTTTCTCTCTTTGAACCCCGACCCCTTGTCTCCATCCTCCCAGCCCCCAGTGGGAGCTGTGCTGGGAGGAACCCCAGAAGCCCCTGCTCTGGGTCCGCTGGGAGCCATGGAGCCAGCTGGAACCCAGGCTGTCCTCAGTGGGGAGCCAGGCCTGGCCCACCCCACGAGCACGCCCAGTCCACCACCTCCCTTCCAGGTCCCTCAACAAAGCTTTCCAGACACTACCCAGCGCCTCCAGGGCCAGTAACTGCCTGGGGAGCAGGCGATGCCCTCGGGGAGGCACCCGCCCCTACCTCCTCGACACTCCTCCGAGGGCAGCCCCCCGCCCCCCACAGGGTCACCCCTGGGGAGAGATGGCTTCTCTTGCCCCTCCCTGGGGCATGGAGGCTGAGTGGGGCCCCCCGGCCCCTATAGGCCTGTATATCTGTATAAATAAATGGGATTTTAATGGAGCCCCGCCCCCACGTCATTATCACTGTGTGATAGTCTGTTGTCTCCTCTCCTGGTCCTCCACTCTCTTCCTCTATTTATTTCACTCTTTTTTGGGTTCCCTCTGAGCCCTTGGGCCCCCTCCAGGTTCCTGTTTATAAGCCCCATCCCCTGTGCCCTGAACTTGTATGTGAAACTTGTCTCAATAAACCCTTTGGAGTAAGATGGGTGGCGGTGCTGACTGTCGAGGGGCCCGGGGACCTCATTGGAGGAGTAACCCGCTCCACCTGGGGTGTGTGGAGCTTGGAGAGGGGATCTGGTGGGTTGGGGTTTTGTGCTGGGGCCAGGAGGCCAGAGAGGGGCCCAGGGCTTGGGTGGGGTGTGGGTGGAGGGACGGAAGCAGGGGCACAGGACCGAATCTCCCAGGCCCCTCCTTTCTGTCCCTGTAAGCACTCCCTCCCCAGGGGCCGCTGCAGCAGCAGAGGGCAGAGCCCTGACGGTTCTGCTCAAGACTCCTGGCTCCCCACCCCCCCCCCATGTGTGCTGGGTGGTGGTGAGGCCAAAGGGCCTCCCCTCCCCCCACGCCTGGGCCTACAGGGAGCCACCTGCAGGGAACAGCTCCGCCATGGTGGGAGTGCCCGACCCCTCACTGCAGGTGCCCCGAGTCCCTCCCCGTCTCCGAGGTGTCCGAATCACAGTGACCGACTGTGCGCTTGGCAGGAGCAGACCCCACGCGAAGCTCTTCATGTGCCATTTCACTGGGTCCCCAAAGCAACCTCAGAACGTGGGGAGCGTTATGCACGTGGTACAGAGGAGGAGACGTGGTACAGAGAATGAGACGTGGTACAGAGAATGAGACGGAGCCGTGGCGCGGGGGGCTGGCTCAGGGTCTCCAGCAGGCCGTCAGAACTTGTATCCAGTGCCGGTGACTCCTGCTCGCTGAGGCCTCCACTGCTTACCAGCGAGGCGTCCTTGGGCTGGTCCCCAGGCCTCTCCGGGCCTCAGCATCCTCTGTCAAATGGGCGTGGTGCTAATGGCCACCTCCTGGGTTGTCCAGGGCTGCGGCCCAGTGCCCACAACAGGGCATGGCCCCTGGCAGGCCTCCGTGGACACCTGAGGAGGGACGGCCTGGGAGCCGCACACTCGCGACACGTTAGCATCTCACCGTCTGGAAGAGGTGCAGGTGGGCAGGTGGCCATCAGGTGACACTGACAGCCCCAGACGTGGGCTCCACCTAGCCTCGCTGCCCCCTCATCCCTCTCGGCTCTGAGCAGCTTCCCCAGGTGGTGGTTTGGGTTTTCGCTCCAGCCTCAGACTTCCTTCCTTCCCCAGCCCCAGCCAGCCCCCGGATGTGGTGACAGAATCGCTACTGTGCCGACCTCAGCTGCCCCCAACAGCCCTTCACCGGGGAGGGGGGCTCATCTTGTGGCCCCCAGCCCCAACCAGCCCTGCTGATCCCGAGCCTTTGGAGGGTGGGACGGGAACCCTGCTGGTGGGACTGGGAACTCTGCTGGGATGCCTGCGGAGCTCAACCAGACCATGACCCCTCGATGGAGGGGGTGGCTGAGGGGGCGGGGTGGTAGCAACCGGCGGGGTGGACAAGTCATTTCGCCTCTCAGAGGGTTCAGCTTCCTGTATGTGAAGCCACTCTTTTATTATTAGCTGGGGAGGAGAAAACAAGTCTGAATCGCTCCTGAACCGGCTGGAAGAGGTGTGTTAGGACAGGCCTGGCACATAGTAGGCCATCAACTGATACCTGCTGGCTGACTGAATGAATGAAGAGACCCATCCCAAAACACCTGAGAGCTTGTGCCCACCCTTTATCTCTGCAGCGACCCCCACCATTTACTGAACTGCTGTGTTCCAGACCCCGTTATGCAATCTCATTAATCCCCACAAAGGCCCTCTTGGGTAGTAGCATCCTATTACCATCCCATCTGACAGATGGACAAACTGAGGCTCAGAGAGGGGGAGCCACATGCACACTCCGCCAGAACAGTCGGCTCTCCACCGGGGAAGCTGTGTGGGTGTGTGGTCCTCTCTGGTTGCTAGGGCCCATCCAGGCACCCCGGGGCCTTTGGCTCCTCACCCTCCCGAGGACTGGGGTGGAGAGGGGGGCGGACAGTAGGAAACGTCACCCTTTGTCCATCCGCCCTAGCCCAGCCCTGGCCCCTCCAGTTCGCTCCATGCACCTTGCCCAGGGGCGCTGGAGGCAGACCTGAGGCCAGGCCCTCCGCTCCTCTGGAGGCCTCGGTCTTCCCACCTGTGGAGTGGGCTGGGGCGCGGCGCGGGCAGGGGCGCCGCTCTGGCAAGAGGGAGGCCGAGCCCAGAGAGCGGGCCGGCCCTGACACCCCGTTTCCCTCCCTTTCCCCTGCGGTGGGCGCCGGATGCAGGCCAGGCGAGACGGCCCCCTTCCTTAAAGAGCCAGGCGCCTTCTCAGCCCCGGCCCTCGCGACCCGCGGTGGGGGTGAGGGTGGCTCGCCCCTCCCTCTCCAGCTCAGGGAAAAGTTGACTTTCTAGACTTGGGTGTGTTGAGGGACGGGAATCAGTCCCGCCTCCCTGCCCCGCAGCTCCCACCGCAGGACCCCGGCCGCGGGCGGAGGACGCGCAGCCCCAATTCGGAGGCCCCGGGCCCGCCCTCCCCTTCCGCCCCCGGCCCCTCGGCAGGCCCCGCCCTCTCTGACGTCACCGAGACCGACGCTGATTGGCCGACGGAGCCGTCGCTCCGGACACTTCCTTCTGGGCCGCCGCCGCGGAGTTAAACTTTGGAGGGGGAGCAAGACACACAGGCGCTCGGCGCCGGGCGACCCTCCCACCCCCACCGCCGCCGGGAACGCCCCCTTCTCCGCGGCCCCCGACCGAACTTTCCTCCAACTTCCGAGACCCTGAGATTCCCTCCTTAGCACCCCGGCCCTTGGGATCCCTCTGCCGCATCCCCGGGCCCGTCGATCCCCGGGATCCACTCGATCTCCGACTCAGAGACTCCTGCACTCCGCCCCCAAGGTCTGGTGGATCCCTCGGGCCGCCTTCTTAGTTGGATCCTTAGAGCCGCTGGATTCTGGGATCCCCCCTGCTCCCTTTTCAATCCCTTCTCTCTCCAAGGGGCCTTTGGATCCTGGGCTCTCTTGATCCCTGTGACCCCGACCTACTAGATTTTCTTTGATTTCTTGGAATCTCTCAATCGCTGGGTCCCCCAAACCATTAGATTTCTCCTTTCTGATCGTCTGTGATCCCTTGATTCCCGGGAGTCTGATCTACTAGATTCCTTTTTCTCTAATTTCCCAGGGTCCCGCCATCCTCGAGTCCCCTCAACGTGCTAGATTTCTCTTTTCGGATCCCCGCGCTCCCTCCACCAGCTTACGAGATCCCTCGGATCCAGTGACCCGGCTTCCCCAGACTCCTCCAGCCAGATCCCGGGTGGGTGCCGGGCGGCCGGTCCCGGGCCTCCCCCCATGGCCGCCGCCCCCTCCCATCCCTCCGGGCTCCCCGGCTCTCCGGGGCCGGGATCTCCTCTGCCCCCCGGCGGCTTGGAGCTGCAGTCGCCCTCACCGCTGTTGCCCCAGGTCCTGGCCCCGGGCCCCGGGGTCTCCTTCCACATCCAGATCGGGCTGACCCGCGAGTTCGTGCTGTTGCCCACCGCCTCCGATCTGGCCCACGTGAAGCAGCTGGCTTGCTCCATCGTGGACCAGAAGGTAAGGGCGCGAGTTCCCCCCACCAGCTTGGGGAAGAGTCAGGAGGAGTAGGGCACTGGCAGAGGCGACCCGGAGCCTGGCATAAGGGAGGGGGAGGAATGGGTCTAAGCCTTGGGAGACTGAGGGGTGGGTGTGGGGCATTGGCCCCCAGCTGCCTCTTCACCCCACTACCCGTTTGAGGGAGGCCTGGGCAAGGGTGGGGTGCCCTAGAGGCCTCCCCAAATTGCGTGTCCCTACGTGTTGTTTTCTGCTGCAGGCGGGAGGAAGGGAGGGGCCCGCCAGGTGTAGAAGCAGGGAGGAAGGGACAAGTGGGGGCAGCAGATGTGGGGGGACCTCCCTACCCTGGTCCATCCTTGACCTCCCATTTGGTGGAAACAGTAGAAATTGAAGCCGGGCTGGCCATGGCGATCGGGTGACGTGCATGTGTGTGTGTGTGTGTGTGTGTGTGTTTGCGCCTGCGCTAGCTGCCAAGGGCAACTGAGGTCTCAGATCCCAATACCTGCCCTCCCCCACGCCTGGAATGTGTGCAGGGGGGCCTCTTGGGAACCCCTAGAGGCTCTAGGGACTCTGTCCCCTCTTCTAATCACAGTGTTCCCACCCTACTCTCAGCTTCAGACACCAGGGTCACCAGGTGGGGGGCTGGGGGTCATGGCAAGAGGGAATCAGTGGGAACT